TCTTTAGTAACTATAATAAAATCGATTAACACATCGGCCACATAGTTGCCGCAATTGGCAGCAGCTTGTGAACAATTCCGAGTTAACTATGAATTTACTCGAACGAGAAGTGTTTGGAAAATTCATTAATTTAAAGTAAAATAGTGGAAATCCGCAATTTGCTGCCTGTAAAAAAAGAGTAATACCGGATAGATTTACTGTTATGGCAGAGTGAATTTACACCTTAAGATTCACATTAAAAGATTCGGTCGTCAAACTCCTTGCCAGTAAATGATTTTCAAGTGGCTTTCGCACTTATCACATGTTTTGATGGCAGAGACGAAACTAAATAAAGAAAGGAAAAAAGAGGCCGTTACTTTTAGAAAGCAAAATGGTCAAAAAGTAAAAATTTAATAATCCATTTTGATCCGTAAGAATTAAAAAAGCATAGCATCTCATATTCTTTTAAAAAATATCCTGGTACTCACCATTATTATTCGAAATATCCATTTTCAAAAATAGCACAAAATACATCAGAAGAAAGATCCAGTGAAAATGGTTATATTTTTAAGGGAATCGAAGTGAAACCGTCTGAAATTAACAGCGTTAGTACAAAAAAATCCCCAACAATATTTAACTATAATATACGCCATCCCCATGGCAACCACATTATCACACGATAAAAATGTCAAGGTAACCATATGGTAATGTTATCACCCATCTTAGCGAACGTTAATAACAATTTGGCTCGTAGCAATTCGATATCAAATTAGTACCCTGTTCTAACGGAGAATGGTTTTATAATTTACTGAATAAATATTTGATTCATTATGATTCATTTCACTAATTATGCGGCAAGCAATGCTTTACTTTGAAAATTTAAAAGCATTAATAAATGATGCAATGAAATTAGAGATTGCAATTACCAATTTATATAAAAAGTAAAAGTTATATCTTGAAATGTTAAAAGAACAATGAGTAACGCTTTAACTAAAAGCATATTTACCACATAAATTTAATGATATTTACGCGAATTATACAAAAATCTATTTAGCTCTAAAGCTCACCAAATTTCATAAATGTCGCCACATGTATTTGATTATTAATAAGCTGCAAAGATATTTGATTATAGGAAATCTTGAGGAATTCTATTACAATTTGTTATTCCATTACTGGCTAGGGAAATTCTGAAGAAAATTTCATATTCACTAGCCAAACACCTATTACTATAAAATATATCGTTATTAATCTGATTATATTGCAGTTACTGTGTCAGAATATGCTCTTCTGTACTATAGTTTAGACAGCATTATCAATTCATTTATAATACGTTTCTATAACGTTTTCGGTGACTATCACTATAATTATATTAGTATTAACATTAGCTGTAGGCATACACATCCTTAAGAATATATAATACATAAAGTGCTATATAAAAGACTTTAAAAGGTGTGTGTGTGTGTGTGTGTGTGATTTAGAATACCATACTTTTCCCAATTTAAGCAAGCCGATCTATGAGTAAACCGAGAGTGAGTTTTTTCTTCAAATATTTACGCCAAATCCGAAACCTATATATGAGCCGAATTAAAAAAAGAAAATTCCTTTAATTTTCAAATATTTCGCATGAAGTCGAAAGTGTAGCCAAGTGGATAAACGGATGGGATATTTTCCGCTGAAATCGTTGTATATGCCAGACACCAAAGACGTTTGTTTTATATGCAGTAACAATCCGAAGCTGACATATTTATTTTTCATTCATTTGTTAGACTGTACACTATCTGTTCCAATCTTATTTTCTGTCCCATATCTTTTGGTAGTTGTCTTTAAAATGAGCTAGAAAAGAAATTCGTGTACGGCTTGTAATCCTTAATCTATGATTCAGGCATTAGAAAGATCGAGCCACATAATGATCATGTACACTCATGCCCATGAATTGATAATGCCAGAACCGGCAAATCAAGGTTAAGAAATGAAACAAGTGTGACTTTTTTTATAAAACCCACTTATTAAACAAAATATAAAGAAAAAAAGATACTGTATGCGTGAAATCATTCATAAAAAATGCGAGTTTTGCTCCTTGTTTAAAGCAACTATGAAAAATACTTTCTTCTCAAAAATTTAACATCACATGGTTGTTATGAAGGTTAATACATTGTATGTCTTCTATGCGATGAGATAAAGTTCGTACACAACATCCAGCATTCTTAGTATCAAATTATTGAGCTGATTTTGGTAAAGATTACTCACCTATGCTAGCAATACTCTCTGCAGTTCCAGTACACATGTATGAGGTGGTTGATGGCTACCAATCGTCAACCAAGCATAATCCACACATTCTGCATCCGATTCAAGTCATGTGAGAATGCTAGTCATTCCATACGAGTGATATCCTCAGATTGAAGGCATTCTTTTGCGACATTTGCTTGGTGAAGACAGGTATTGTAATCCATAAACACAAATTCTGCACCCTTGGCATCCTTAAATAACGTATATGTTGTTTCAGAATGATTTTCCGATGAATTTGGCCTGCCATGGTTCCGATTCGAACATGCAGATCGGTTCTGGAGCTCAGTATGCTCCTCCCTCTTCCCAAATGAGCAATCATGTATCTACGTAATGGTGCCGTTCAATGATGTTATATTGGTGGTAATGGGTACCTGATGTTCTTCGTGTGGAAGTTCAACATGAATCAGACTGCGTGCAGAACTTGAACTTATCGGAATACATCACATAAATCTTACTGTAATATTGTCGACATTGCAAATTTTCTACTCCAGGCTAATTGTTGGCAACAGTGAGTTGCCATGAGTGGAAAACATCTGATAGGCATGCGAACATGTAGGCTAATGTGCCCCAAACGTTTGTACATGGTTTGATTGAAATTGCCGTACCCATGGCTGCAGATACCTAATGAGGCAGGTCGGATGCTTTGCTCCATCTACTTCGTTTGACAGTTACTTCCAAATACTAGTCTTTATTCGATATTGTAACTCGTGGTGTAACATCTACTGCAATTTTCATCATCTTGGTATCGTTGTCAAAGCCTAGTGATGAAACTTTGGCTAATTTCAAGTTCCTCGGATACTTCCACCTGAGTAGACCCACATTCCAAGCGGACGATAATTCTAACATGCAAGAAATCATCCACATGTGTCATTTATGCCATAACTTTTCGCTTACAAAATGGTTTTGTGAACAATTTTACTTCTTTGCCACCATTTCTTATATACCTCTCTCTTACACTCGCGTCATTGTGACGTAGTATCGGTGACATCTGGTGGTTTCTTGTATTTTGCACATTATTCTTGAAGATGTGTTTGATAATTCTACATGTGAAATTTTTACTCAAGAATTCAATTTCCGTGAGATTCTAAATTATCTTTAATTTATAGACATGAGTATATATTCAGACATCCTAATCCTAATAAACAGTCTAAATAAGCAGTCAATATTGCCTCTTAGTATTTTAATTTGGTGTAAAAATACAATTATACTAACACTGAACACAACTCAATGGCGCAACAGCCCATGAGGACCAAGGTCTACTGTACCTATCTCAGTTTACGTGACCTTAATGGCTGGGATGAATGTGCAGATGTTTCGGTCAAGTGGTCAGTCTGACACGAAACCCTCAATGTTCAGTTCCCAAACAAGTTTGGTACCCATTTATCGACCCACTAAAGGGATGAATGGCTGAGTCGACCTTGCTCATCCCGGGAATTGAACCTCAGACCTGTAGAGTGGAAGCGCGGTACACTACCACTCAGCCACTGAGCTTCATTATATGAACATATATAAAGTAAAATCAACAAAATTCTAAGGTGCATCTAAGCCGAAAATTGGCACAGCGAATTTGAAATAATTTTTTCTACAACTGCAAAATCAATATAAACATTCAATTCCACACCCGAAAGTGAAACAACATGTCAGCCATAGTTGGTGGGAGAGTGGTTCCAGACACAACAATCTTTTTTCCTAAGCAACATTTTCCCGAAATCAGCAGAGCCTTATTTATGCCTACTCGATTATTTTAACTTTAAAAATGTTAAAAAACTCACGGGTTATACAGTATCTTACATTTTCTAAACTCTTTTTGAACACCCTGTATAATCCAATGAATTCATAATATATTCGACTGCTCAAATTTATTATAAAATACAGAAAAATAGGTGCGCCTTTAATATATCACCCAAAAAGCAATAAACTAATTGGAATAAACTTGAGATCT